TTTATTTATTTATTTATAATATATAAGCATCTTTATTTATTTGTTTGTTTGTTTGTTTGTTTAGTATGCCACCCATCTCCCCCACTGGGTGACTCTGGGCGGCTCACAATAAAAGTAAAAGCCATAAACAGTTAAAAAATAAATACCCCAATTCATTATTTAAAGTTAATTAATTAATTAAAAGTCAAACTACAGAAACAAACCCTATACATAAAAACTAAAAAACATTCAAGATGATGGGGAAGTAACATCAATTCCCAATCCTTGGGAAGCACACAGGTGCTGATATGGAATCTAGCTATCCATACGCCTTTGGATATATCCAGTGAAACTACCTGCAATTATGAATTCCCCACCATTCTTCAGAGTAGCCAGTGTATGGTGGCTCCAGAATATTGTGGTTATTTAAAGTGGTAGGTGACAGAGAAATAGCGAAACAGCTAAGACCCATGGACCATGTGGATCCATTGCTGAAAATCTCTTGATTCTAGAGTTGTCCTTGTTACGTGTGATTGGGCTTCCTAATGTGTGTCTGGAAGCTCAAGCTGTAGGTAGAATATAGGAACCATTCTAAGGTCTTTGCTGCAGAGCTCAGTGTAAATGAAAAGAAAAATATTATAAATGAAAGATAAAATGAATCTATTTGCACATACCTAGGAAAAATAATGTGTTCTTCTTAAATGATTGTCTATGTTCTACAGCATACATTTGCTAAGAACCCTTCTCCCTAAAATGGGTGTTTCCTCTATGCAGATGTTGTCTGTATGTTGTTTTTTAACATTAAACTTTACTCTTGTTTAAAAGAAACAGGAAAAAACCCCGTGATCTCTTCTCACAGACTGAAATATAGAGACCATATAATTTCAACTCAAAATGGTCATCCCTTTTTTCTGTCCAAATGGTTTGTTGGAACAGGTTACCAGGGAAATAATCTCCGCTTGATAAATATATGCAAGTTCTGTGAACTCAGATAGCTTCATTGTATTCATTTGTGTGGAGTTTAATGTAAATCCCTTTGATACCAACCCACATGGGTTCAGTGCAGTGAGAGTTCTGATTCAGTAGCCAAAGTCAAATGTTTTATCTCATGGACCAACTGCACTTGGTCAGCCTACTAGAGTGCAAGCTTTGTGTTCATAAACATCCCAAACCGCCTCAAATAATTGAGAAAAGGGTCAAGCTGCAGACTCACCTGATTCTACTTCTGTTTCCTGCTCTTGGCCCCCACTTCTTATTTCTGGTCCCTGCACCCTGTCTATACCCAAAGGTGGCAAGATTGAATATTTCTGACTCATTTCAGTTCATGAAAGGAATGAATTGCTTCAGAATGTTCCTATTTCAGGGAAGTTTCCAGAGGGACCTTTAATTCCACTCCCAAAGTCAAAAGTGACAGAGTGGAAATTTCAGTATTGCTCATTCCAGTGACTTTGTAATGGCATGGCAGAAGAAAAACATGCACCCTCTCCAAACCAAGAAAAAGTTTGCACACCTCTGCCCTATCTCATGAGCAAGAAAGTTACTATGGAGTAGGGAAAGGCAGAGGCTATAGAAGAAACTGAGTCCAGTGGAGGTTTGTTTTTTTGTTTTTTTGTATATTATTATGTATAAATATCCATTTGGACCTTCTTAGTGATTGAATGGTGTGCTTCCTATTAGTTTCCTGTTGTGGATTCTGGAAATTCACATGCAACTATATGGAGGAAAGGATGCTCCATTAAGTTTAGGAGAGCTCACTGCCATGTCTGGCTTCTACCCATTGGTAGATTTTTAGACTTGGGTGCATGGTCAAGTAGGCATCATCAGGGGCCCCCTAATAACTTGCACATACAAAATCCCAGTTTTCTTTGTGGAGTAAGTTAAGAGTAGTTGCTAGTTTCTATAAAGGTTGACTCTCAGGACTTGTTCTTCCTTCCAACAATTAATTTGTCAAGTGAGAACTCCGCTTTAGATCTGGTCTCACCCCTCCCCCCCACCTGTTTTGATCCACTCACTTGTTTCTGTCCCACTTAATCTGTCCGCCAGCGCACCCTGCATGACCCTTTTCAAAATGTGACAGCAAGGTTTGTTCACTTAGCCTTATTTAAAGTCCCAAATAGGATAACTGAGCTTGATTGAAGATCTGTTCCCAGCTAGATTTTTTGTAATCATGCACCCAGGGAAAAAAAAGGGCCTTAGCTATGATTTGCTTGCTGCAAATGTAATACTTACTCATGGTGAATATAAAGAAGGCTTTGCAACCCCTTACAAGCCACAGTTTTGCATATTTGTTTGTGTCATTCTTAATTAATTAATTAATTAATGACCCTCTTAATGTGAATGTTTCTCCAAAGGAGTTCATAGATCCACTGAACAAATATTTGGACCTTTTAAAGCAGAACAATGGTGAAAGAGAAGCAGTGATCTCAGAATGTCTTGCTCTGTTATTTCTGTTTAGACGTCAAACTAATATTGATATAATAACTGTTTTCTTTCCTTCTGTTTTTTCCTCGCTGCCTGAAGGCCTGAGCTACAATGTCTCAGTGGGATTTGGGAGTAGGTTCTGCTTGATGTATACATTTTTAGTAACTAATCTTAGCAGTGCACAAAGTATTATCGCTGGTGCATGTAAATAAATGGAAATGTTATCTGAATATTTTTCAACTATATCTGTCTGATTAAGATATTCCACTTAGACAGTCACAAGAGAAATAGAGGTTACTTGTGCAATTATTTTTAATTGGAAGGAATAATAATAAGGGAGGAAATGAAATATTTCTGAATGTAAGAATTGCAAATTGTGCATAAAAATATGGAAGGCAGGCAGGCAGGCAGGCAGGCTGGCTGGCCGGCTGGCTGGCCGATAAAATAAGTGATAAGTCAAGATCATTTTCGCTTCTAATTTGGTACAGTAGTTGAAATATTGGCTGCATCTAGGACAACACTTTCTATTTTAGTTTCAGACTGTTTCTCTCTAGTTTATGCCTTTTAGATTCAAATAGACAGTTGCAGAATATATAGATGCGGTTGAAGAATAATTATATAACAGGTCATAGAAATAACCTAATTCCATGGTTGATACTGCGGCTCTTCCCTGAGAGCAGGTGTCCTTCATTACCTGCACACTTACTCTTTCTCACAGATGATTTCATGACTTCAAAATCATGCTGCCTGATAAACTCAAGTCAAGCTCCTGCAATTTTCCCAACAGAAGTATGGAAAGGGTTTGCCTTCTTCTGAGATGGTTTATCAACTTCTCAGTTTAACTCACAGCCTTCAGATTCCCTGGTGGCCTTTATCAGGTTCACCCTCAGCCATTGAAATTGGGGAGGGGGTGTAACATTAGACCAGTGACATTCTGTCAACACAGCCTACCTCAAAGATTTTGTTGTGGGAGCAAAATGAAGGGCAATCCCCACCCAACCACCATGAGCTCTTGGAGAAAAGGTGGAAAATAAATGAAGTGAGAGAATTGGGTGGGTGGATGGATAGATAGATGGATGGATGGGTGGATGAGAAAGGGTGTGTGTGAAAGAGAGAGATCTTTTGATCTACTATCCCTTAATCCATCAAGAGTCCTTTCTGACTGACTAAAAGACCACGATGAACAACACACATTAAAAAAAGCCCTAATGGTTTCACAGCCCTAACATTTAGTTAGTTGTTCAACATACTGTCAACCTGAAGGGAGGCCCTCATATAGGCAAAATGAGTTGTTGTTTAGCTTGTTCTTTTAAAGAACGTTCCTTCAAATGAAGGAATTTTTCCTCAATCAATGAACAGTTTGAGGCAAAGCTCTAACGTCTCTGTCTTCAAAAATTCTTCCGTTCCAATGTGTGTGTGTGTGGCCTTGATTTTATTCTGTTGACAGCTGCAGCAAGACAGGGTTTACTAGATATGGGGGTAAGAGGAGGCTCGCCTTACTATATTGACATTGCCAAAAATTCATTAGCATCAGCATTCTTGACTGCTAAGTTAGTGCCTACAGAGCGATTTTGATAAGCATTCCATGAACATATAATTATTTCTCTAAGGCTTATAGCTATGTTTTCAAAGTGGTTCATGCTATTTATGTATTTATTTGTGCCACTGGAAAGAGAGGAAGAGTTGATTCTCAGAGGAGAAGTGCCAATGTGTACTGTATAAAGTGCTTGCTCAGGCTCTAAACAATTAAACAGAGAGGGAGGGACAGAAGAAGTGAGAAAGAAATACCAGGTTCCTTCTGTTCCCCATTTTTTTAAAAAATAAGATATCCTTGTTTTAGCAGGCTGAGAATTCTAACCTAGCATTTTCTGACACTGAAGTTCTAGCTTTCAAGCTTTAATCCAAAGATACTTGGATTATTTGATATGGCCTAGTAGTTGATTATGGCACCTTTTGGGGTTTTTTTCCCCCTTTTTGTTTTGAACAGGGTAAGAAGTTAATATTTCCATCTCCTACAATTCGCAGGTGGCAAGGATACTATAACATTTAGTGAATCAGCTCTTCCTGTTATCCAGAGGTCACGATCACCATTGCTAGCGTTCATTGATAAACCACAACAGAATCCAGAAGGTATGCATCTGGGGTCATAGTAGCAGTCACTCCACGTTTAAGGAAAAAACCCACCAATGGCACCTCGGTCTTGTACACTTGTCAATTTTTGCCTAACCATCTATGGAGTTCACCATTTCTTGCTTACTCACTCATTTCCCAATGGACCTGGAAGTTAGGGGCTGCTTTTGAATAACTTTTTATATAGGCAAGGGAAATATTGGGGCTACGTGTGCCTTAGATTCAAAGATGCTTCACTTTCCATTATTCCCTCTGTCAGGTTCCTGGAGCTAAAATGTTGTTTATCCAACATTGTTTCATTGCACCAAAAATGGACGCCAATAAATGTTACTTTGTGTGAGCTGCAGAATGGACAAAGTAGAAAGTATTCCGTTTTCTGGGAATCTCTAAAACTTTGTGCACTAGAACTTGCAAAAGAGAACAGAAATCCAGGAGAATAAAATCCTAAGAGAGATGATGTATCTAGGATAGGATTGCTGATCTCCAAAACAGAGGAAATTGAGATTTCTCACCTTAAAAACATCCCTGTGTCCTAGAAGCTAGAACATTTCTCTCTGATTAACTGGTAGTTAATGTGAGTGAGAAATCAAACATGGAAACCCTGAAACTACGTCATGGTGGTTATTCTAATTGTGAGTCCTTATTCCTCATCTTTATGAACTTTTTAAATATTCTGCAGAGCAATTAACAGGAAGTAGTTGCAGATAATATTGCCTTCTTGTGCTATTCCTTTTCCTCTATTCTCCCTCCAATTTTTCTTTCTTATTTTCCCCTGCCTGTTTTTCTCTGTCACAGACCCTTTCACATTCTAAATGCAATAGTTAAAAACAGTCACACTAATTAATACTCAAGAGATTTCGGGTATCTTAGCTGTTCCCAGACTCATAGTAATTGGATTTCAGAAAACTGTATCATAAGAATTCAGATGCCTCAAAATCAGCTTAGCTTGATTTTACTGTAGCTTTACCCCCACTTTTTTTATTGCTTAACTAAATGCTTTTTGTTTTTTGGGGGGGGGGGGTTGGATTTCTCATCTTTTTTCCCCCAGTGTTTGAATAAAGTTTTGATCCAGGAATCATTGAGCCAGATGCATATATGTTTCCTTATCACCTAGATGGGCTCAGACAAGACTCAGAAAATAATTTAGAACATCATTGTCCGTGCCTATCAGGTTCCAGAAATAGTTCAATGAAGTACTTGCTCCATTGTCATTAATATACATATTGAGCCCAAGGAGACTTAAACATTGATTGGGAAATTCCATTGTGGAATGTGAAGCACTGGGCTAGGAGAGACATGATGATGTTCTAATAAATCTACTAGTCTTGAAGAATGAACTTGCTATCTCTTCTTCCTCCTCCTCCTCCTCCTCCTCCCCCCCCCCCCCCCCCCCCCCCCCCCCCCCCC